CTTCTGGCCTATACCCCAGTTCTTCTACACAAAAATAAAAAAAAATATAAATAATAATCACTATTTTGTGCTGAGTGTTGTGTTATTTTTAAATTTGAGATACTATTGGGTTGTCAGAAAAGTCATGACATTTTTTTTTCTGCTTTTCAAGCAAAAATGCATCATGACTTTTCCGACAACACACGATCATAAATATTCATTTGTAGGAAGAGAGTAAACTAAAAGGAGAATTTCAGCCTAAATATAATAAATGAACTTTCAACATTTTTTTGTGGATTTATAAGAAAGTCCATTAAGTTTTAGTAATGAACTATAAAGCAATCTCTCAAGACACTATATAAAATCTACCGTCTCTACAAGATGGTAAACTCTTCCATTTTTGATGCTTACTTGATATTAAATGAAAATTATATATTCATTATCTTATTGTTTACTTTTTTAGCCAAGATTTTTGTTAGCATTTTTTTTGTTATCTTTTACAGTGCAATGAATTTATAGGCAATATTATGTGCAACCAAAAGTTTAAAATTGCTCATAAAAAATTTTAGAGGGTGCCTCCCCAGTGGCGCAGCAGTTGAGCACTGGGTTGTGAAGCTGCCCACAGCCTCTGCACGCCGGTTCGATCCCCGGCCACAGGCAAGGATCCCACATGGCACACAGACCTCTCCTGCCGCCCGCTGCTTCCCTCAGCATTGTACTTCGTCAGTCTGCCTGCTCTGCTCTCCCCTTTGGCTCTGGTGAATTCTCTCACACCCCCGCACTTCTGACTGTATCCAGTGCTTGTACAAATAAATAAATAAATCTTTAAAAAAAAAAAAATTTAAAAAAATTTTAGGGGGGGCCATGATTATTTTTTTAATGAACAGTTAAGTAATTTCAGTCTCTAATCATCAAGAATAAATATTCTTAAATTATTCATTTTCTCATTTGCTTCTCTTTGAGGTTGTTCACAAGTTTTAAAAATCGAAGTTTGAACTTGCAGTCCATACAGCAATTTTTTTCTATTACAATGACCTCTATGTGACACCTAAGCATGCTCTTTGGAATTTTCTCTGTCATTTACCACTCACTGGCTCTGTAAGATTATGTTACTGTCGAGGTGTCCTAGGGTGGCCAAGACTGAAATGTTAATTCAAGCATCCTCCAAGTTAAGTCAATGATCTTCAAGTAAAAAAAAATGTACCTGATAAAAAAATCAGTCAACAAATCTTTTTTAGGCAAATGTTGTGCTGCCACAAGATGAAATTTACAAAGAGCCTTAATCTTGTCAGTATCTTAAAGAAATATATAAATTGAAGAGCTCAGTCATTTATTTTTTCTGATATGATTATAAACTCAAGTGACTCCATCAGCCACCTGTTCAATAGATCTCCTTAGCTGGTCTTTAAGAGCAGACAAAGCATATTTTAATGGTGTACCTTTAATATTTTAGTATCCCTGAATTATATACTATTGTCCTATATTTGCCTTTAAGGTTATTTTTAAATTGATAAAAGTTACTGAAACATTCATTCTTCTTAAGAGCAAATGAACTTCTGCATTGCAGTCTGTCTGTTCATCCATAATTCAGGAGCCCAGTAAAAACATTATGTTCAAACCAGCATAAATATTGGCAAAGGTGAAATATCGAACTGCTACAGTAGCAGCTAAATTATGTAGCAATCTGTGTGTGTGTGGTTTCATTTCCTAGCACTAGAAATAAAAATTAAAAGCAGAAAATCAGTCAACAATTATGGTGGTGAACTAAATAAGCAAGAGAGGAAAGCCAAGTAGCCATTATTCAAAGATACATGCTTTTGATTAGTAATCAGGGCTCTGAGATGCCATTAAAACCCAAAGGGGGAAAAAGCATCCAGTGCTTTGATTAGCTACTCAGGCAAAGAAAAGAGAATTGTAGAAGAACGTGCTTATGGTTTTAGAACTTTACAAAAAGCAACTCTGATTCTATTTAAGTCAATAGAAATTTGTCTTCAAATAAATTGCTGCAATTCTCCTAATTATCTGGGCAATAATGCCAGCCCTCCATTTATTGGTCCCTGCTTTGGAGATTCTAGAAGAAGAGGGATTACTACATGCCCTTGATAGAGACAGAGCTTCTCTGTGGGAGGCACATGGGGGCCAGGAGAGGCTGACTCTGACTTAGACTCAAAGCAACAGTGGTGTCCACAGTGAGAGTGGCCAACAGGAGGACACAGGCAGCTCGCCCGCTGGATCAGCGGAGCAATCGCAGATCAATATGTTAACAGACACATCTCCACGTCTCCTCCACCCCGCTGATATCGGTGAGACGCTGCATTTTGTGTCTCTGCAGACCTTATCTTTTATATCCACAGATAACCTATATAGATGGTGCATTTGGTGCTAAAAATTAGCAAGTATCTAGTGCTCAGGAATTTTCTGAATTTTAAGACTTCTAAATTTGTCAGCTACCTATATGACATGTTATAACTTTTACTAGAAAGGACAAAAACTTAATACAGTAAATATAGTCACTTCATTAGGTCATAAAATTACAGTTTATACAGCACAGACTCTATAAAAGCATTACTACTTCTCCTCAAATCTGCATGACTAGAAAAATCTGCAACAGAGTATCAAGCCTGTGCCTTCTCATCCCATTTTCTCCCATGTTCTCACAAATGAAACAGCTCACCTCTTGACAGTATTTAGTATTTCATCTGTCCTCTCACAGGGGCCCAGAGGGCTTCACAACAATCCTTGGCAGGCAAAGCAGGCTGAGAACAGTCCACACTTTGAAGCTGGGTCCCTCAGTGCAGAGGTATTAAATAAGGCAACCACATCACAGAACTTGTTGGGATGAGGTGGGGGCTTCAGTGCTTTCTGTCAGGCATCAACATACCCCTCCATGAGGGGAACCACATATGTATCCGCTACTACAAAACCACATACATATCCACTACAACAAAACTACAACACAAAATAATAAAACACTGACACATCGGCACTGTTTCTTCTCCTCTCACCCCCTACCATTACTTAGTAAAAGAACTTTAACTCAAACCAAAATACGAATAAAGAGTAGAGTGTCAGTAGCACCATATTCTGATTCTCAATTGATTAGGTTTTCTTTTTTCAAATTTACTTTTTACAACTTTCCGTTATTGTCAACATGGGCCTCACTCAGAGAATGTTCACACTTAATGACTGAAATGAAAATCTGCTTTTTTAAAAATAAAATGTTATTGAGTTACCATTGATAACTATGATATCATGGTCAGGAGTAGAGCTTCACACGAAAATTTGCTTTTGTACTTAATTATTTCCCACACGCTTTTCAAGGAACTTTAAGATTCCTTTCCATCATTTCAAAGGCGAGGTCACTAAGGCACAAAATAGCCCAGTAATGGGTGCCCAGGCAAAAAAATTAAAAAGTGCAAAGAGACACACACACAGAGGGATGGAGGGCCAATTTCAGCAGCCGTTCTGCCCCTTCCTGCCGTGTCTGGCCCTGTTGGGGCCTCCCTGGTGGCCTATGGGTAAGTCTCAGCACTATCACCACCACTACGGCATGAGTTCAATTCCCAGCTGAAGAACACATGGCGCAGCAGACCTCTCCTGTCTCCCCGCTGCTCCCCTTAGCAGTGTATTTCAGTAGATCCACCTGCTCTGCTCCCCACTCTGTCTCGTAAATCCTCTCACACCCCACACCTCTGGCCTGTACCCCAGTTCTTCTACACAAAAAAAAAGAAAAAAATTTTAAAAATCTGAATGTATACTGGAGACCCACAGCACTGGGCAGACCCAACCAGACAGCTTCCAGTGGATGAGAGATGAGTACACTCACCTCTTCACGAGGATCTGTTCTATTATCTAGCCATGCTCTGCTGGCCTGACAAGTGGATCTTCCAACAGGAAACACAATAAAGTATCAAGTGCACTGAGGCAGATGAACCTGCAGGAGCTTCAGACACATGGGTGGTGTCTGTCAGATATGGAGAAACTCCCGGTTCCACTGATGTCCTGATTATCTACAGCTGTGAGTAAGTTCTGGGCATGAATATCTAGATTTAAGAGTTGGGTCTGTATTTGAAAGTCGAGAGCCCTTCGGTGGAAATCACTGACATACACATCAAACACACAGCAAGGAAGGAAATGAGGCTGTGACAGATTAATATGACTGGTGCCAAACCACAATGATCATTTGCTGGAGACTCTAGAAAACCTAACAGTCAACTCATAACATTACTTTTAAGCTCTCTTGACAAAGACTTGAGCAAAACACTGTTAACTTGGATATTTTTATGTTCTGCTAAATTTATATCCTAAAAGTCACTATTTAAAGCCTGGGAGCAATGGGATGGTGACAAAAAGCAATATTTTCATTCCTATAACTATAGATGATGATGATTTTTACAGTTCAAGGAATAAACATATTTAAAGAAAATTCACAATGAAGAATTCATCTATGAACTGCCATAACATTTCACTGCTGACTCTTTTAAAAGACAGTTTGCTGATTGAGAAAGAGCAGTGGTGAGGATGTGGTCTCATCCAGATGCTGCCACCAACCATTAATCTTGCCACGTCATTTCACCCCTCGGAACCTCTACACCATGCTGTCCTTAGAGGCTTTTGAGACCACCAAGGGCCTCCCAGTTGGGGGAAGCAAACCTCTGGTTTACCTGACAACAGCCTCTAGCTCTTTGTGTGCCACTGTCACGATAAGCTCCCTGGGCATTGTCACAGTGCATCGGTTTGGCATCGGTAATCCAAAGACACTGCGGGATAACGCTGAATTTCCAAGGGGACACCGAATCACCATTCGGGTCACACATGCAGACACAAAGCCCGAAAAGAGCTTCGCCTTTTTCTCCAGAAAGAATACAGCATCTTAAAATAGCAGGGACTAGTTAGCTATTCCTTGCTGTAGTTCACAAAACTGAATAAAAATGCAAGCACATTGAAAAGAGTTCAGTGGGTATTTATACTTAAAAAGTGAACTTCAAAAACAAAACCAAGCCTGATGCTTGTGCTCTTACCTTGCAGCCTCTGCATCACGTTGGCGATGTCCCGAGGTGACCGCGTGGCCCGAGGCGACCGGGAAGCCGCCCTGGAGGATGCCATGATCCCCCCCTGCAGCAGGAAAGCCAGACTCCTCCCAGGCTGGCAGCTCTATGCAGCTCCAGGAACCATGTTGGGCTTCTAGGGGTGGGGGGGGGTGCGTCTGTCAACTCAGAAGCAAACCCCAGGCGAGCCCAGCCGTGTAGCACTTAGCAAGGAAATGACACTCCCTCCCGAAGATCGAAAGCACCTCTTCTTTTGCTTAAGATTTTCCTCTTACACAATCTTAGGAACCTGAAAAACAGACAGAAAAAGGATGATACTAAAAAATTCTACGTGGGTCACCGTAGGCTAAAAGAAGACCTTGTAGGAGAGCTACAAGGAGAATTATCTTCGATGTGAACAAATGACTCGTGACCCAATGAAATAACTACTTTCTCAATACTTACAAACTATAAAATACTAGGTAAACATTCAGAATTTTTATGATATTTAATAAAGTAAATAGATGATTGAGACATATACAGTAAAATTGGTAGCTAAAAAAGGAAATGCTCACTTTTATTCCATGTTTTCTTTTAAAGTTATGTACTGTCCCTCTGATATGTGAAAATGAAAGTGTCTGTGCTTAGAATACCGAGTTCCACTCCTTGTCCACAGGTTCTTGTAACTACAATATATGGCCTGCTTTGCACACCTATTTTGTTCTGTTGCTTTTCAGAATGAGATTAAATCTTTGCTTCAAATAACAATTTGACAAACTAAATGTGTAAATATACTACTATGTATTCTAAAATGTTGAGTTTCCAATAGTCTAACTTTATTTTTTTTTAAATGTTTCTTCTTGTTTTTTTTTTTTTTTTTTTTTCTAAAGATTTATTTATTTAGTTATATAAGCACTGGGTACAGTCAGAAGCGCGGGAGGGTGAGAGAATTCACCAGAGCCAGAGCAGGGAGCAGAGCAGGCAGACAGATGAAGTACACTGCTGAGGGGAGCAGCGGGCGCGGCAGGAGAGGTCTGTGCACCATGCGGGACCCTCCTCCAGTGGCCGGGGAGCAGCAGGGGATCGAGCGGGCGCTGCAGAGGCTGCGGGCAGCCCTGCAACCCAGCGCTCAACCGCTGCGCCACTGGGAAGGCCCTCCAAAAGTCTTACTTTAAAAGATAAACTTAGTTTGATTTAGTTCCTCCCTCTCTTTGCAGAAAGACTCTAAAGTCAACTGTAAGGTTGAGGTAATACAGGTGAGTTAAACTGAGAGAAACTTTTCCTTCTAACCCTTCCTGAACTGTCAGCTTGGTCAAGTTTAACTCATTATTCTAGACTGGGAGAGAGAAAAAGAGGTAGGGGAGCAGTTGATGAAATCTTGACATTGAGACATATGCTTTGAACAAAGATTTCCTAATCTTAGTGTTAGCCAAAGAGGCCTTGCCATGAAAAGAATAATTAAAACAGAAAGAAGAGGAGGGTGAGAAATATACCCAGAGAAAGAAACTGTAGGGTAAGTAAAAGCATCAGGCCTTTCTGCCCTCCCGCCATCAGGATAGATGATGGATCTGCAGTCCTGAATGCATGCCTGATGGCGGGCACCTGGAGTAGGGTGTGCGCATGCGTAAGTGGGTGCACCTGGGCTGAGACTGGGCTTTTAAGGGCGGCATCACAGGGATGCCAGCGGAAGAGCAGAGCAGAGCAGCAGATTGAAAGAGCGGAACAGAACCAGCAGAGAAGTAGAGGCCACGAGAGAAGGCCAGAGAGCCCAGAAAGAGTGAAGACTTGCTGGGGGGCCTGCCAGCCTCCCAGCCCCCTGACACCCCTGCCTGCTGTGTACCTGGTAAATCCCAATAAAAGTCTGCAAAAGCCACCGAGGACTCTTTCTCCTCCTCTATCCCGTCTGTTCAGGTCATCGATAACCCTGCCCTGTGGCCTTCCCGCCGCTACAGAACTTCACAAGCCCAAACTAAGGGGTCTTATGTGAGAGATATGTCAGCTGGTACAATTCACATTCATCTCTGGGTATGGTGGGTAAAGAACAGAATGGGGTTGGGGGTGTAGAGGACATGGGGAGATGGTAAAACTCTAAAAACATGTATGTGGGTCTGTCAGTACTATCAAAAATGACAGCATCACCTGAAGGTGTGTTCATACAAACTATGTATGAAGGATTGGTTTAGTAATAGTGTACAAATTACAACAACTTGAAAATGGCATTAATAACAGCATATATTAGTAGCTGGTGAGAATGCATGATGCAATGCTAATATCTTTCGGAGGCTACCATCTCAAAAAGGGTGCAAGAGATTGCACACTGCTGCTGCTCTGGAGGAAAGCATCTAAGTGGTCTCTACCAGAGCAAGGAAATGTGTACAGTCATCCATCAAGTGAAGGGGCAGCAGTGATGTGACTAGCATTCACAGGTAAGGAGGTAGAGGCTGACTTCTCCTGGCTATTTAAGAGGCTATTTACTAGAAGGAGGACCCAATACTCAGCAGCATCTAAGCTAGAGAGGCAGGTCTCGGTGGGGGGCTCGCCGAGGAATTCTCAGAGGAGAAAGGACTGTGGATGGCTGGCCTGTCATCTACGACATCCACCGGATTTAGGTGCCTGTTAGCCCCTTCATTTCCTTGGGAAAACATATTTCACCTACCCACATGCAAAAGCTACCTGAATTTTAGGACTAATTGACAGTGAGGTGTGCCTGAGAGAGCTGCAAATGATTCCTTTCAGCTGTTAGAACGTTAGGCTCTCTAAATGCAAGGATATAACTTTCCAGACTCTATATCTACCTATTTGTCATCTATCAATCATCTATCATCTAGTCTATATATATCCACCATAATCTGTTACCTATCAATCATCTATTATCTATGATCTATCCACCAACAATCATCTATCTATTTTACCCTCTGTTTTCTACATGTTACCTACCTACCATCTATCTACTAAGTAAGATTGTGGAAAGAAATTCATTTCTATCAGCTGCCCCACATTGCTCAAGACTGGAGTTCACCAATGATTAAGCCATGGACCCAACCATCAAATGAGAATTATGGAATTAAAAGATTTTTGTAAGTGGCCTCCCAGGTGGTGCAGCGGGTTGAGTGCAGCACTGTGAAACTGTCTGCAGCCTCTGCAGCATGGGTTCGATTCCTCGGTGGCCAAGGAGATTCCCACATGGCACGGGCTGACCTCTCGTCGCTCCCGCTGCTCCCCTCAGCAGTGTATTTTGGTCAATCTGCCTGTTCTGCTCCCCACTCTGTCTCTGGTGAATCCTCTCACCCTCCCATGCCTCTGGCCTGTACCCCATCTTTTGTATAAAAATAAATCTTAAAAAAAATTAGAAAAAGATTTCTGTAAGTCATTACAAAATCACCATACTTTTACTCTCTTCTAGTTCACACTCATATTACACAATACATTAATTCTAAAAATCTCTCATATTAAACTCAAAATTTGTCTGTGTCTAACTGCAGCTTATGTATGCAGTCTGACTTCCTGAGCGCCATGCTGGGGATGTGATGATGAAACCAGACGGTGAGGTTCTTCAGGTGGTAGCAAGGAATCCCTGAGGATTTTAAGGGCAGTGACCAGGGATAATTCAGATTATTCCAATTACAGCTTTAATAATATATCTTAAAGAAGTTATACAATAATTCCCAGAAGACCCAGCAAGACCACTCAGGATGGGATCTCAGGAGTCCAGGGGGGGAGATGATGAAAGTCTTGGATAGGACAGTGAGTGGTGGGTAAAAACCAAAAATGCTTTAGGAGGTAAAATGTGCAGGGCTTGGTAATTGTTCAAGGAGACAGGAAGTGGCAGGTGCAGTGGCCTGGGATCTGGATAACACTCAGGCCTCAGAGGAGGTGTTTTGGGCCACACTGCCATCACTGAGCTCAGCAGTGCAGGGGCTATGTAGGGGTGACATTCCAGTGCTCTGCATGCGCACCCCCCAATCCCTGAGGAACAGTTCTCCATCGTCCCTTCATATCAACGCTCTGCAGGAAGCTCTCTGGGGAGCAAATCCAAAGGATGGCTGAATACCTAGCACAGGACCCAGCCTGCTTGAAGCCACCATCCATACCAGCAAACTTTCAGGAGTATGTCCCTAACTTCCCTCCAGCACTAACAGTCCAGATTATTCTAAGTATGATCTTAGATTCACCACCCTTGTTAGCCTTATCTCTAACAAGAGTGAATACCTGGGGGCACAGAAATCAACTCTTCCTGCCTTAGCATCCTATTCACTATCCCTGAGCTCCTACTAAGCCTCAGTGCAAAATTTTGTTTTATTGAATTAAGTTCATAATACTTTACCTCTGCAAAAGAACCCCTAGAAAGTTCCTCTCCCCCCACTGCAAAAGAACAGGGTGCAATATCCTTCCTTTTTGAGACATAGATAAAATATGTTGCTTTCATCATCATGTATACACGTTTCCTCTTTTTGTGAAATAATACTCTAACTTTTCACTGATACTTTAAATGGACATGATGTGATAAGAAATTTCAAATGAATTAAAGATAATAAAAGGAGACCGAAGATTTGAAGACATGAGTTCTGGGCTTAGCTTGGTTGCATCTGTGGGAGTGATATGTTTGTTCTGTGCACAGAGGTCCCCAGCAGTGGTTCATCACAGGGAGTGGAACCAGGAGATCCATGGACTGTGTACCAAGAAGGAGCTGCAGCTGAATGTCCTTCTATCTCTTACTCTAGGGTCCATTTGAACTTAAGAAAAATGCACTTTTCTGAGTGTTTCTTCGTCTGTCAAATACAGTAATTTTGTGCTAAATTAGGTGCAAACTTTTCAAAGCTAAATAATTAATGTTCCTAGCAGAGGGTATCTAGTAGAGCTTCAGCAAAGACTGGCTTTCAATTTTGTTTCCCTGGCCTCAGTGTCTCTGTGGCAATATGAGAGGCGCGTCTCAAAGGGAGAGAGGCTCTAAAGCATTTTCTCCAGTTCCAAAACCAAGGGCAGAAAGGGACAATGAAAAGGATGAGCACCATCAAGTCATGAGACCTTGAAATTTACTCCTTGAATGGACTGATCATAGTGTTCTGATTGGGGGACGTGGCCCCCAGAACAGAAACAGAACATCAGATGAAGTTCCATCAAGATCACTATTCTCAGGGTAATGGAGAATTTTAAACTAGCTGTAGGATGAGGCGTCCATTGCTGGACTGGAGCGGGAGAATTAGGTAAACATCGATGGGCTGTCCACTGATTGGTAGTCCCTGGACCATCTGCAAATCCTTCCAGGCCAAGGAAGTAAGATCTCAGGGCCGCTGAGTGCATCCACCACACCTAGCATAGAGGGAGTTCTGGCATTTATTATTCCATACAACAAAAATATATTGAGAAACTATTCACAAAGCACTGTGGTACTAACTGAATAGCAATAAACAAGATAAATGGCACACCTGAGCACTTAGGTACAGAGGGGTGACAATACAAACAATATTACAACAAAGTAGGGTGAGTATTACAAAGCAGAAATCCAGGCAGTCACCAGACACCCAATCAATAAGTATCTTCTGCATTTATGGTGCAGGACGCAGAGGGGATTTCAAATGTCTGCTATTTGGGGTTCTCCTGTCTGAAGAACATACTCTCATTAATACCAACACCTCTGAAAAGTGCACTGGGCAACCATCACAACTGACGTTCCTGTCTCTAAGCAGGATGGACAATTGGCTACTAAAGCAGTTTCTTACTTGTGCTCCTACAAAGGAACACATTATGAAAAGCACTAGAAGAAACACGAGCCACCCACAAAAATACATCTTAAAGCAATGTAATGAAATGTTTAGTTATTAGGAAACCACAGTAGAAAATTCCAGGTTCTGCAACAACCAGATGAAATGGCTCATTTCTAACTGAGAAAAAGATAAACCGAAGACATAAATCATAAACTAATTCACAGCAAGTGAATTCGAAGTATAGAATATTACTTAATTAGATGTGTAAAAATGTACAAAAATATCGGTCCTATTAAAATCCACGATGAAACAAAAAATTGAAAGCAAATGAATACATTCGAAGTCCTTTACTGGAGTGAGTCATGTAAGTGTCTAATTTTAAATTTAATTGTTGTTTTCCCCTAACCACCCTTTAGTAATGGTGCTAAATAAACACTAAGCTGGCTAAACAGTAGGGTAGAAGAGGGACACCCTTAAGTTACTAAATATAATATGGTGTATAAATATAAATGCATTATTAATGTATGAGTATGAACAATTATCAGTGAATAGCGCTGGTAATGTTCACTATTTAGAATTAAACAGGGTGACAAATTAAAATTGGTCTTTTCCCTGGAAGAACAAAACTATAAACAAGTAATCCAAAGACAAATAATCCAAAGACAAACAATTTTTCATGACCAGCATGAAAAATATTAAATGTCATGATTCAGCTATTTTTCGTAAGCTTGGATATAAATCATGCGCAGAAATAACTGCTCCCAACCTCCCATACGTTGCTGGAGGATACATCACACTCCTTACCAAACCTTAGTTCTGTCAGGATTAGGCCACAAGGTAGCACCTGAGTAAGAGGGAGAGAAATACAGATCCCCTTACCAGGGACCTCTGGGTCCTGGGGGCTTGATCACATGCAGGCCACAAGGTGTGGCTCGGGTCTCCAGGGCTGGAACCACCGAGAAAGTGCTACCAACCTGGCCCAGGCATGGATTCTTACACCCTGATTCAGTCACACCTCCTTTCATTTCCAAGAAGCGGTGTGTGCTGCATAATTACCCGAGAGCAGGCCTCACAGCGGCACTGACACGTTTCACACAAGCAATTCTTGAACAATTAAAAAGGATAAACTACCTTTTTCCAAGCCCTACTTCTTTGTGGGACAGAGTCAAGGAGGAATTCTTGTAGGGGGATGATGAGGATGGAAATAAACCAGTTGGTGAAAAACCATTATTTAAGAAAGGTAAACATGAGGTGAGACGGAAATCCCTGGAAAAGTCATTTCAAAGGTTAGTAATATTGTTATCTGAGTCATTCTGAGGATGTGCCTTTATCTGCAGCACGAAACAGATGAAGTTAGCATTGATCTGGTGCCTTATGTTCTATACTTGTCACAAAGTAATAAAAGGGAGCAAAAACCAAGAAAAAATAGATATGTGTTTTATTACACTCTTCTGGCGAGGCCAGGAACTTTCTCCCATACTATTAATCTTTTTCCTCTTGGGGCACCGAAAGCTTCTCAAGGAACAATCCACATGAGTCATGATTAAATCAGATGTGGGTGGTATGAATGACCTTTGCTGCATTGAAAACGACTACACTTGCTCTTGCACAGGTCTGACTTCTGTATACAAACACTTTGCTTAAGGAAGCAGCTCTCAGGTGAAGCCAAATATAAGGCCTTAAAGAAGAGGAAAAAGAATTCAGTCTCAACTGCCTTAAAGTTCACCAAAAAAAAAAAAAAAAAAAAAAAAAAAAAAAAAAAAGCCAGAGCCATACAGGTTTCCCATCCCAGGCAGAAAGGCCCAGAAATGAGCATTCCAGGACGCTGCGGCAGCTTCCCAGCTGATGCTCCCCCCCCCGCGCCCCCCGGGCTGAACCTGACTGTGCCAGAAGAGGCTCTGCCCTCGCAGCCGCCCCCGCCAGGCGCGCGCCCCGCCGGGCTCCCCGCGGCCGCCTTTCCTTGGCGGCTGGCGGCTGCTTCATTTTGCACGATTTCCCAGCCCTTCGCCCTGCACCTGCCAGCTGGGAAGCTCCATCTCCCGGGGCACCCACAGCCACGCAAGAGCCGCGGGGTGAGCCGCGCCTTCCAGGGGCGACGAAAGTTCTCCCGCCCCCGGCGAGCCCCGCGCGCCCCGGCGCCAGCATCACCCCGGCCTGCGCTCCCCGCCCCTCCCCCAGCGCCGCCTGAAATAGTCGGGGGTGGAGGAAGGGCGGCTCCGAGGATGTGCTCCACGCCCGGCAGCGCCCATCTGACAGCGGCGAGCCTCGCCGCGCGCGGGATTGGGGTCCGCCTCTCGCTCCGCAGCTCCCGCGCCCGGACGCGCCCCCGGCGGAGACGACAGCCCGGGCGGGGGGCGCTGGCAGGGCCGGGCGCGCTCAGGATGCCAGGGGACCGCTGCCCCCGCCTCTGCGGCTCGCCCCGGAGTGCCGCGCGCGCGCCCACCTCGCCACCTCGCCACCTTCTGCCTCCCGCTCGGCGCGCAGCTCCCGGCCCTGCAAGTGCAAACTTGCTTCCGATTTGCCCGCGATGTGTCGGCCCTCGCGCCGGCTCGCTCTCCTGGTACCTTCTGCCTCGCCCCTCCCGGCTCGCGCGGGGTCCAGGCGGCCGCGCGCGCGCCGGGCAGGTCGCAGGGGTGCGCGGCTCCCCGGCGCCGGGCGCGGCTGCAGGGCTGCGGGGAGCGGGGCCGCCCCGGTTGCGGGGTGCACGCCGGGCTCCCCCCGCCAGCTCGCGGGTTCGCTCGTCCTCGCGCGCTCACCACTCCTGCGCCCCGCTGCTCGGCGGCTGTGCCCTCCCTCCGCGATCGGGGCCTCCTCCCGGGGGCATCCTGGGGCTGGAGGCCTCCCCCGGCTGCCTCCGGGCTCCCGACACTAGTTGAAGCTCCTCTCCGAGGGGAAGGTCGACAAGGAGGGCTCGGCGGACCGCCAGGGGCCGGCTCTCCCCCCGCCCCTGGCCGCCACACCCCTCCCCTGCGCCCTGCGCCCTGCGCCCTGCGCCCTGCGCGGGGCTCCTGGATGCGCGGCTCGCGGGCAGGGCTGAGCCGGGATGGGGGCCTGCAGCCTCGATCGCGAGCTTCCCCTACCTCCTGGGGATGCGCGGCCTCCGGCGGGCGTCTCTCCGCAGCAGCCGAGCCCCGCCGCGCCGCGACCCACCCTCTGGGCGCAGCGCTGCGCCGGGGCCACCTCCCAGGGCTCCAGCCGGCGTGGAAATGGCCGAGCGCGCTGCGAGGAGAGGCGCAGCGCCAGCCGCGAACTTTTGCCTGGGATTCCAGCGCCCGGCTGACCTTTCTGAGCAGAACCTATCTTGAAAGGCCGGGGAGGTTCCCTGATGGTCCCAGGAAGGAAGTGATGCAGTTCAGCGAGGACATTCCGCTGGCGCTTTTGAATCAACTTTGAGAAAGATCGCGAAGGCTGCTGACCTTTTGACTGCCCAGTCAGTAGCAAATAATTTTAGGGAGATGGGCCAGGCTTACTAGGTTTTTGTTATTGTGTTTACAAAGCTTGGGTTTCTTGAGGAGGCACCTGACATCTTAATCTGACTTAACTTGATGGTTCAGTGAAGGGATCTCCAGGAGAACCACCTCCAGCCTCTTCAGATGCGCCCGGCACACTGGCTGCTCATTGCTGGGCCATTTGTGCCTTTGTCACAATCCTTCTCTTGAGGAGGAATCCTGGTGTTGCCTAGTAGCATTCAGGAGAATTAATTTTGTTGTGGTTTTATGGTTTCCAAGCGAAGTCAAACATAGTCTCCCTTCACCAACAAGTCCAAGTCCAACAGGATTACGGCAGCTAAAATAAAGGAAGCTAGGAGGGTGCAGGAATCTGAGCCACAACATCACCCCCTCCAGCTTTCAAGGTGAATAAAATCATTTTCTGCTCTCTCAGTTTGCTGAATGGAAGGCCCGGCTCAGAGTGGGTGAAGCTTCTCTTTGCTCTTGCCTTTCCTCAGCAACCTGCCCAGGCTCCATTATTTAGCTTTGCTTTTTAAAATGCTCTTTTTTTCTGGATCCATCAAAGTGACAATGTCTGAAATAAGCACGACAAATACACTTATCTGATGTGCTACTCTTCTTGTGTTAACATTTTTGGAAGCCAAAGAATGACTCTAATTGCAGAACTTGTAAACAGCAGGAGTTTTACACCTGGGGAGGTCAAGTTTGAGATCTCAGTGACTGTCCTGGCCTGCTCCAGGGCAGAACTCCTCTCAGAGGCCCAGAGCGCCTCTTTTTTTTTTTTTAAGATTTATTTATTTTTGCATACAAGAGCTGGGGTACAGGCCAGAGGTTGGGGGGGGGGTTTGAAAGGAGTCACCAGAGACAGAGTGGGGAGCAGAACAGGCAGACTGACTGAAATACACTGCTGAGGGGAGCAGCAGGTGAGGCAGGAGAGGTCTGCTGTGCCTTGTGGGTCAGCTCCCTGCCCAGGGATCCATCTCCTGCCTCAATGGCTGCGGATAGCTTCATTGTGCTGCATCTTAACCCCCTGCACCACCAGGGAGGCTGCCAGAGCTCCTTTTGGAGATAACCCCCAACTCTAAACCCAACCACCCCAGAGACTAGTTGTTCCAGAAAGTACCTTTTTCCTGAGTGACCAGGAGACTGGGATCCAAACTTCCAACTCTGCCACTCAGGGAAAGAACCTGGTGGTATCTCAGATCACCCCTGAGTCTCTACCGTTATACAACCAGCCCCCATGAAGGCTTTTGAGGATGGGGTAGACGCTGTTCTATGAACTCAGTGCTCTGTGTGTTCAGCAATTGCTTCCTTAGGTTGACTTCTTCGAGAAGCGAGCCGCATCAACTGTGAGTCTGAAACATTGCACCCGCCAACTGAAATTCCTCTGCCAGACATCAGTGCTGTTTTTCAGGCTCAGAGAGGCAGCGGCCAGAGCTGGCAGGCTGGCATCAGCTCATGAGCTGTGCTTCCACTATCAGCTCAACTGTCTCCTCCACAGAAAGACCAAGCACATTGCAGACTTTTGGAAAAGATTTGTCTTTCCCATATGCCCCAGGGCAGGGTGTGATAGCTCTGTTTATTCAACCACTCTTGCATGCACCAGCTATCAGTCTATGCAAAACCTGTCCTGGCTCCTGACTTCAGAGCTTGCAGTGTGATCATCCCAGAGACAGATAGTCATCAAAATTACACAAAGAGTTACAAAAACCCAAGTTTCAAAAATGGCAGATGTTGTTAGAGAACTTCCAATGCAGAGAATTAATTTAGCTTGGAGATGAGAAAGGCTTTGCTCAGGAAGTGGCACATGAACTGTGACCAGCAGGAAGAGTGGCTCTAGGAGGAGAAAGAGAAATGAGGTGGGGTCTGGAAGAGCGCTCCAGGCAGAGGGAACAGCACATGCAAAGGCCCTGAGGAGAGCCAGCCTGGTGTGTTTGAGGAAGACCAAGATGCGAGGGAAAGGACAGAGGTTTCAGGGAACAGTGGGCCCAGTGAGGCCCCAAACCACTCAAAGGACCAATTGTGTGCACCTTAAAACCCAGCCCAAAGAGAGGGATCTTCACAGAACCATTCAGGTGTTTTCCATAGGTGGTACAACCTGATTAGGTTGGTGTTTTGAAAATGTCCCTTTGACTATAATGCAGAAAACTCATTAGAAGTGGGGCCAAAAAGGGTAGAGGTGGACCAGGGAGGAAGCTAATGGGTTTTTGGAAAAGCCATAACTTTCTTTATGAGTGACGGGCGGGAGGGTGGAGGGATGTAATGCCGCATGTTGCAAAAGGGAGTCAGAAGAGTACAGTGGTTAGAGCTTTGGGTTTTGAAGGGAGAAAGGCCCAGTTGGAGTCCAGCTACGTCATGAACTACCTGTATGATTTTAGTTAGCAATTCGACTTCTCACAAATTCAGATTTTATAAAGCTATAGTTATATAAAGCTGTGGTGGAGACTAACTAAGCACATATCTGAAAAGCACTTCATGCTTTAGTGCAGCCTTCTGGTCAATAAATACATTATAATTAATGCTATTACAATGGAGGATAGAGTTATTGCTACTATTATTCTATTTGTTTCTGAAGTCGTCAAATAAAGAGAAAATAATCTGTCTTTATTTTACTTTGCAGCAGGCTGTTTGGGCTAAGGCACCAGTTTCTGAGAGCAGCAAAATGTAATCATGAGGCCATCAGAGACTGAGATGGCAGCTGGGGCAGCATCTGATCTCCTCCTCCACCAATAAAACCATCAATACAGGGGCCTCCCTGGTGGTGCAAGGGGTTAAGCACTGCACTATGGAGCAATCTGCAGCCTCTGCAGCATGAGTTCAATCCCCAGCCGGCCAGGGAACTACCCACAGGGCACAGCAGACCTCTCCTGTCTCCCCACTGCTCCCCTCAGCAGTGTATTTCAGCCGATCCACCTGTTCTGCTCCCCATTCTATCTTTGGTGAATCCTCTCACCCCCACACCTCTGGCCTGTACCCCAGTTCTTGCATGCATAAATAAATAAATCTTAAAAAATATCAGTGCAAAAATAAATTTATGTGTATGCTCTACAGTGTTTATTGCAGCACTCATTACTATAGCTTGGGCATGGAAGAAGCCGAAGTGCCCACCAATGCCCTTTTTGGATGAAGAAGATGTGGAAGGTACACATTATGGAATGCTATTCAGCCATAACAAATGATGAAATGCAGCCATTTAACAAAATGGAGAGGGTGCAAAGGAATTATATGAAGTAAAGCAAGTGAGAATGACAAAAACAAATATTGATATCTGCATAACTGATAATTTGAAAAAATAAAATAAAACTGTGGACATTAATAAGCCTGTTGTTAAACAGGGGAGGGAGAAAGAAAGGTGCAGGGGATGTGAGGTATGGTGGTGGGAGAACAAAAAGAATCCACAGCCATTGCCAACCTGACCTCTTAAATTCTTGTCTTCAATAGGTCTTTATGTCCAAGCAGCTATAGGTGTTAATTGAAGTAACTCTTCACACACATGTCATGTCTCCTTCAAATTCCGTTTTACACTGGGATCAGATCAGCATTGCCAGCAAACCCAACCAGGTTGACTCACCAATTCCCATCTTTGAAGATCTGGACCTGTCTTGACATTGAATATTGTGTCTATCAGGATTCATGAAAGAAAAATAAAACTTGAGAATTTAACACAGGGATTTTGGTGCTCAGAATTTGTTGATAAGGATGGAGAAGTCCTATTAACTTGGCTTCCTTTAGCTGTCAGATGACGCACCTGCAGGTGCAATCCACAACTTAGCAACTTGCTGGTGACACCCAGAGGCCAAGACAGACACTGCAACAAACAGCCGAGGCACCACATCTACCCAGGCAGAGACAGGTCCCTACCATGATGCTGCTGCTGCTGCTGCTGGTAGTGATGGTGATGATGATGGTGATGATGATGGCACTTGGGGTGCTGCCAGCCACTCTAGAATTCCTTCCATTGCCGCTGGAGGGAGAACTTTCTGTATCCCTTTGTCTCCCAATCTCTTGAGAGCACTAACAGAGCACAAATTTCATCCAAACCCCCTCAGGAAAAGGAGCCTGGGAAGTGTCATTCCCAAACTTCCAGCCTCCAAGATACTGAGAAAACAGAGAATGGATGTGGTGTGAGTGAAGTTTGTTTATGGGCCCACAGAACAGAATTCAGGACAAACACAGATTTGGGGAAATAAGATAATGCATTTATTTGAATTACAGTACCCCAAAATTCCAGTTCAAAATGTTGAGTATTTAATTCTTATACTGACAAAGTTTTAGAATTTTTAAAGTTTTAAAAACTATGTTTAACAAGAAAACCTAAGAGTTAACATTATGGATGAAGTTGAAGATGACAATAATTTCCCAGTGTCATGCGCTAGTCACTTTGACGCCAGTGTTCCTTCAGGAGCTGCTCTTCCTTGCACCATGGATGTCCCTGACCAGTTGTGGCTATCCCTGTGCACTCCCACGACCAGTCTCAGCCTGGTCATATGGGTGACAATTACTTGGTAATGATAATCGTGAACACCCCACTCTCTGACCACCACCTCTTGAGTCTAATCCACTCCCTCCAGTGTGCTAATCCCAATAATCCTTCAACTGCATAGAACCTTCTATGCAGAGACAGGGTGGCTGTCAGTGCCTGTGATGCCTGTGGATTACAGAGGGAGCC